AATTCAATTTCAAGCCGGCTTTTATCGGAAAAATTTAAGTAAATTGATGAAATAGTAATTTTTGTCAGAAACTACTTTTTAATGTATTTATTTGATCATTACAAAATTGTTTCTTTTCTTAGAGTATTTTTTAGCAAAATGTTCGTGGCACCCCCTCCTCCATTTTTTCCTTAGCATATTCTCTTGTTGTTAATTTACATGTAGTATAGAATTATTTAAATAGGGACCGCCCCCTCCCTCCTGTCCTCATTTATCGGTTTAGAAGGATGTTCGAATTTCAAATGTAACCTGTATCTATATCCAAACAAAGATGGTTTTTCTATTTTAGTTTGAACTTTTACTGGTTGCCTTTTTATTTGGAATTTTTTTTTTTGCATGTCAATTACCCCCCCCCCCCCCAAACACACACAAACATTTGGAAATCGGCGCTACACCCTGAGCTGATTTAACTGTGTATATCGATATATTTAACTATGGATTAAAACTGAAATTTCTACATTCTCTTGAAGGTGTTTTTCAGAATAAAGAAAAACTTGTAAAGAACGCGTATATATGCACTGATCTCTCTCTGAAAAAAAAAATTAGATACGTGTATGTAGAACACCTTTTAATATTAAGACACTTAATATGAGACGAATTTAAGCATTTGCAAATTGCTCAGAAAACAAATATATAGCATCTTTAGTCATGCATAACATAAAGACATCGCTATTCATCGCTGAACCTAACACTATGTTCAATGTTGAGATTAACTATGTGATATCAAGTTAAATACTTAAACAGAATTATGAATAAATGCATGTACTTAATAGTAACATTATTATTATTTTATTAAAAATGTCTACATAAAATTTCATATAATTTGATTTTTGTTTTTTTTTGTTTTTTTTAAGTTACTCTTGAAAATATAATTTCATTTCTTGTTCAGGAAACGCAGTCACCGAAAATACTTCCGTGTTTACAATACTCCGACTTTGACGTCGTTTTCTGCGCAATGTGACGTCAAAAGATAAGGGCCCTTTTCTCATGACGGCAGTCATATATATATATATATATATATATATATATATATATATATATATATATATCCAAGAAAAATCACAGTGGTCGGTGATAAATATAAAAAAAATATTTAAACATAAAAAAACACAGAGAACGAGTAAAACATAAGCGCTTTCATTTCTTCTTCATGATGTTTTACAATATACTCATGGTAACGTTTATTGTGACGTCATAATAACTTAACGTTAACAAGTCTCTGAATGACGTCATATTTCCCCGTACTTTTGGCAACACAGTGTTGGAACCATCCAAATGTAAAGAAAATGTGTTGGTAATGACGGACATCAGAGAACTCTTCATAGACGGGACATAAAACGCGTACCTACAAATTCAAACAGTGATGCGTGTGACAATAATAAAAGCAGTGACATTGGTTTTCCAATACCCTTACGACGTAGTTTACCTGTGCGCGGAAAGCAGGACAGTATGTGAGTTTAATTCTCAACTAAAAACTGTCATGAAGAATTATAGACTGTGTGAATTTGAAAAATAAGACTTGTGCGTAGGATTTATATTACATGTATATTTTTGTGTCCATTAATTTATTAAAATTTGATTTTATCGGGACGATAAAATTCAAAGCAGGGAAGTATGTGGGCAGATTTATATATATTAAATATATTTATTGAAATATTGCATTTTAACTACATGTTTCTAAATAATTTAACGAGAATAAAAGTTATGTGCGCAGGTGGATTGAGTTGGTGCTTTACTATTGGCTAGGACTTTTCATTGGCTATTATTATAATGAACTATCAAATCAGATCGTTTCTTTTGTAATAAGAGCGAGCTGAATCTAAATTCAAATTACTGCAGATCTGGCGATTCCTGACTGTAGACTTTACCACCTCGCACAAGGTATTTTATTACATGTTAATTGTTAATAACTTTGGTTTACATTTTTTTAGTAAATAAACGACTAAAATTATGAGTAATAAAGTTTAATACGTATTTACTTGTCGTATGTAATGTATTACTATGTATAAATTGTATATATTTACAAGTACTTATATTTTTCTGTAGAATCACCTTGTTGATATGTGAATAAATATAGAAACCATCATCATTTCCATCTTTATATCACTAGGTCACAATATAATGGCCTAACAATTAGTATGAAAAACGTCAGTCAGCATTTGACTCAATGATAAATTGTATTTGCTGACAAGGTCATTGTATCGACCATAGAACTTACAAAACAATGACTTTAAACGAGACTGCTGAAAGTTAATTTAATGAGTATTTCAGGACCAGCATAACATATTTCACCGCACAAAACAACTCTTTGTTCAGCATGCATGGAAAAATAGGAATCCAAACTTAAAAGTACTGTAAAAACTTAGAAAGAGAAAAATTGATAATTTTCTTCAAAAAAAAAAAAAAACTTCCGCCAGAAGATATATTTCCTTACTTAATGCTTTTTGTATAAAATTTAATTGTGGGCTTTCAAATGAATGTAGCTTAACTTGCATTTTAGAATTCAAATTTCTTACTGTAAGAACTAATGCAGAATGCAGAATTTTAGAAATAAAGATCCAGACAAAAATCTACTCAAAAGCTCAGGATCGAACCTCTTGAACATTTATACACACGACGATAATTTGATATGTCAAGTCAGGCCCATAAGTAGCGATGTTTGACAGGTGCCCCCCCCCCCTTATTTTGTCAGCATGTGGTTAACTATAGAAAACAAAGAAATTTTCTTTTTGTGCCCATTCAATAACTTTTCAAGTATCTTAGCATAGCCTGGTATCTCACCGATTCGTAGATCTGATTCAAAAATAGATATGATTAAATAACAAAGTTTTTCGTTTATTATGATTAGGATCATCATCAGTCATCTAAGAAATTAGAGCTTGCTGCCTAAAAGATATTTCAAAAACAAAATAAAGGCAACAGGTATGAAAATAAGCCTTTGAATATTTAATCATGTGAAGAAATAAATTACTTATTTCAATTTTTGATTTCTTTCTATTTTGCATAAACAATTAATGTTAACCACTGTCCATTCTTTATATCATAACTCAGATAAAGGTTATCTCTGACGACCCCCTTCTTAAGATAATTTAATGCTAATACAAGGGTTAGCTCTAGTCTATAGAGGATATGATATATTTATTGCTTAGACAAAGATTCCCCTGTCACCCTTTAATAGCATAATTGCTCAGACAAGCTATTGTCACTCTAGAATTACATATTGTAATGCTAAGACAAAGATCATTACCCTTGATTACCCTTTGATATCACCATAGCAATGTAGGTTACCTCTTTATACCTTCCCTATTTATTTTATAATAAGAAAATGATACCTCTGCTCACTCTGTCATGTAATAATATATATTCTGGACGTTCGTCCGTTTCCATGGCAATGGTAGGAATATAGAAAAATTCAAATTTTGACTGTACATCTAGAGTTTCTAATTTCTGTAAAGTTTGTGCGTACAAAAGCAATATGTCGCCCGACTTCGTTTGGGGCGACATAATAAGAAACAGAAGAATCACTATAAGGTCTTCCGTGAAGACGGTAGACCTTACTAATAGTGAAATAAAAACAACAGAAGACCTTAATAATAATTTTAACCAACAGAATCAGTAAAATGTCTTCCGTTGGAAACAGAAGACCTTAATGATTCCTCAGGGAAAAAAGGCATTTGCAGGGTAATTAAAACATGCTAATTGACATGTCTAGCCTTTTTATGTAATTCAGTAATTCAGTAATTTGACTGCATAACTTTTGTTTATAAGAATTTTTTAAGAAAAAGTTATTAGAGTAAGATATAAAAATTTCATTCGAGTGAGTAATGTGGCTAGGATTTATTTTTTTACTATCAAATAATTGAGACAGCCATGTGTTATATTTGTTAACAATGGATAGATAGAAGAGTATGATAGATTGATAGATAGATTAGAGAGAGAGAGAGAGAGAGAGAATATTCTCGACCCCTACATCTACAGAACTTATTACAGGCTGGATAAAATAGAAAAAAGAAACAAATTATATTATTAAACATTAATTCCTCCATTATTTCTAAAAGACCAATTTCCCTTTTATAACATTTATAGGAAAATCTTCCGGAACAAGACAACCACTAAAAATATTTAAAACACCTATATCTCAGATCCTGATGTGACGTCATCACCGAAAAGTTATCCAACTAGGTTCAAATCATTATTTATCTTACCTTAAATTTGCAAGAATATTGACAAAGCCACGCACATTTCTTTTCAAAGTGCGTTAATATGGTTGATATTAACGTACTTTCAAAAGAAATATTTTTTTTTCAAAAAGTGCGTTAACCTGGTCCCAAATTTAACACAGATGCATAAATCCTTCCCATGTTGGACTTCATTGAACTTATGGGTCAGTGAAACTGGTGAATGATCTGAGCTACAGCTTGTGAGAATACCATATTCTGTATGTCAGTTAATAAGGAGGTGGATATGCAAGCAAAGTCCAAGAGCAACTAATGTCTACTTTCTCCAGCCATGATGTTAAGGTAGGCTTTAGCTCATTTGAATGTTTACTGTCAGTGATGAATCGAAAAACTTTCCAAAGCATTTTAAAGGAATGTCAACTATCGTTGGAATTTTTTCGACTTGGGCCCTTATATTGTTGACTGATTTATCTCTTCTTCAGCACCAAACACCTTGTTTCTTTTTTTTAAATTTCATTGTGTCCAAGGTACAGAATCTTCCAGTGAAGATAAAACCCATTTCGCTTACAAGCAGGTATATGTTCATATTAACTTCTTTGTGCAAACTTATCAATTTAATTTGTATATCTGCCCCCTCCATTCCCCATTGCTCCAATACTTGCGAACAGAAAAAACAATCCACTGGAAGTAACTGTTGTAATTATTGCTCTGTACTATCAAACAAAACATGTATTTCAATATGGAGTTTCAACATATGTTTACAATATGAACAAATCTACCAACCTTCATGGGGTAAACAGCACTGCTTAGTACCTTCACAATGGTCACACGAGAATGGTTTCTGTTGACACCAGCCTCCTTTCTCAATGCATGGACTATCACTAGCTATCAGAGACAACAAAACAATTCTTAGATTTAATCTGTAAAGAAATTTATATCCGTTTTGTTTGAAAGTCGACATTTCATAGTTATCATTGTTTTTATTTAATTTTTGATCAAATTTTATGATGATAAATCTATATTTGTGATGCACTAACATATAGGGTAGCTAATCCGATGAAAATTTAGGTAATTGGTATAGCTACTCCATTAATATTAGCTCACATTTGTTTTTAATGTCATAATGCACTTATTTTTATGACATTTCATTAATTTATATGTGAATGAAATACTTCATTTTTAGTCCCATCACTTAGGTTGGTAACGAAGATAGGATAGAAAAAAATATTGTTAAAAACAAATGAAATCCTTAACTTCAAAGTCAATCAACAATCTTTAGTAAAATTTTCAGCTTTTTTCAATATCTTCACCGTGAGAAAGATAATAACTGTAGTACTTTTTGAACTGGTGGACGTAGAATAACTCTTCAAATTTGCGACCGGTTCTTGGACACCTTTTAGCTTTGTTTTACGTATAATTAAAATAGAATGCTCAAACATCAGAATATATCATATTAAAAAGAGGGTGTAAAACTGTATAATTCATGTTCTGTATTTTAAGTACAAATTTTGTTCATGTGAAACATGTGAATAATTCTTGCTGTGAATTTCATTCAGGTATGGTATAGCAATTTCTATGGTCGATACAATGACCTTGTTAGTAAATACATATATAGTTAACTCGAATGATAACTGACATTTCTCGTACAAATTGTTAGACTATTATTTTCAGACTGAATTGTCTACAGATTTTTCCCGATCATGACAAGAAGCACAGGGCTGGTGTGACCGGTCAACAGGGGATGCTTACTCCTCCATGGCACCTTGTCCCTCCTCTGATTTATAAGAGGTCAAAGTTTGTTCTGCTTCCAATTTTCATTTTTTTTTTAACCAAGTGAAATAAATACGTGTAGGCAGTATGTTGTCCAATACCATGAATGAAATATTTTTTTTTAATATAATTTGATATTTTAAATTGCAAAAAACTTCTTTTGATGTTTTCAAAATTTACAGCAAAGTCTATACCTAACACAAACAACATGTATTAACAATTAGTACATGTATATTACACTATTCTTACATGATCGGGCTTGCACAGTAAACAGTTTCGTTCATTAGACTTTGTACATAGTTGTGAGCTTAAAATCAATGTCCTTCATCTATATTTCACATGCCGAGATTGTAAATGAATTTTAAGTTAATTATTAATGGTATTCATTTATCATTATAGTCCCTATGAATGGTATTGTACCAGAAGGACAAACCTCTTTTTAATCAAAGTATACTGAGAGAACTGATAGGCGGACACATGATAGCAAGTTCTCAGGTACGTTTTATTTGCTGATCAGGAAAAAAAAATCATTTTGTACATTCTTCTAAACTTGTTGTTCTATAAAATTTTAGTTTAATGAATATGTTCTTCCTAATTCAAGTTAAACAGATTTTTTTTTATTTGACACAGGAGTTGAATGTTGTTTAAATAAGTGTTGTTGAAAAATCTCAAAAATTGTTAAATTTCAAAGTAATTTTTCAAGGTTTTCACAATTGTTAAATTTCAAAGGCATTGTTCAAAGTTTTCATAAATTGTTAAATTTCAAAGCTATTGTTAGCTATTGTTTAAAAAACCACGAACGATAGTATTGTTCTCCCGCCTACCTCTAGTCAAATTTTAAAATTTTACAGTTTTGAATTATGTTTTATATTTATATATATTTATATTTCCCATATATACTTATATGGGAAAACAAAGAGGGATGACTCTAATTTTTGTGAAAAAAAATGCGTTTTTCAATACAGAAATCAAGAAACAAAAATTCCTTTTTAAGGGTTTTATGAATTGTTATTTCACAAATTCATACCAAAGCTTTTGTTGTTTCACCGGGGGGGGGGGGGGGGGGCATATTTTTACAGACAAAAAAATGCAAAAATTGTCATTTTATTACCAATTTCAAATGACATTATCAGTAAAATAAGTTCTTTTGTCAAGCTTTTATGTTGAATTTTATATAAGTTAAACATACTGAAAGTTATCCGTTTCCATGCGATTTGAACATCTACATGTAGCGATTTTTAAAGCCTGATTTTACTGGATAAAATTTTCATCCCCCCCCCCTTTTGAAAAGAGTCGTTAATAAAAGCAATTAAGTTTTTGACACCGGTTTTAAATTATTAATCAGTTAATAATGAAGTCTTTTTTGCATTTAATCAAGTTTTAATGGCCAAACTGTCATTTATATTTTATTAAATGGGTGTAAAATGTAAGCGGAAATCGAGAGTTAGCTTGCGTAGTTCTTATCAAAAATGAAAATCAAAGGCATTTCTCAAAGTTCTCATATAATTGTGTTCAAAGTTCTCATATACATGTAACTGTGTTCAAAGTTCTCATAGATTTACAATTTCAAAGACATCCATCAAAGTTTTTATTAATTGCTAAATTTCAAAGGCAGAGTTCTCATTAATTGAATTTCAAATTTTGACAGTGTTCGAAGTTCTCATAATTCCATAAAGTTCGGAGTTCTCAAATAATTGTGTTCAAGGTTCTCATAAATTGTAAAATTTCAAAGATAATGTTCAAAGTTATCATAAATTGTTAAATATCAAAGACATTGTTCAAGTATTAATAAATTTACAATTTTCAAAGACATAAAACTAATGCGGCTAATTTTATGTAATTTACTAATATAAACGAAGATGATGTTGTTATATTCATAATATTTGAAAAAAAGTTCATTTATCCTTATAATCGGAAATGAGCGGCGATTAATGATCGAATTCAATTAGAGTGCTAATTAAGGAAATTTTTCAGTTTTGTGTGAGTTATTGGTTCATGCTTATTACACAGACTTGTCACGTAGGCATATTTCATGAAGAGCGCTAGCGCTTCATGAAAAATATACCTACGTGCAAGTCTGTGTGATTTACACACCAATAATTCACACTAAACTGAAAAACATTCCTTATATTTACATTTTACATGTTTAAAAGCTGCAAAAATACTTTCAATATTTCAATTTCTCGCTGTCCTATATCGTTATATTTTATTGACGTCTCTGTAGCCTCATTGTGACGTCACTTTAGCGCGATTTTCTCCGTATGAAGCACACTAAACTTAAAAACATTCCTTATATTTACATTTTACAAGTTTAAAAGCACCAATAATATAATATACTTGATGTTTGAATTATTCGCTGCCCTATATCGTTACATTTTTATTAACGTCTCTGTAGTTCACTGTGATGTCACTTTAGCGCGAGTTTCACCGTGTATATTTCTATGCGTGAGTATACACAAAAAATGACTTTCAAATTAATTTCACAGTTGGCTTAGTAGAAAAACACAGCAAATGTAAATATATGAAAATCGCATTCAAATAGATATCTTAGTTAGTATAGTAGAAAAACACAGCAAATGTAAATGTTTTAGTATTGTTTATCTAATTACACCCACTGATCAAACGACTTTGACTACATAAACGTCAAGTACATTGTATGGTTGAAGAAAACCACGTGGGGCGAAACCACTCAGCGAGAATAGGTAATCGGGACGAAACCATTCTGAATCCATGAAAACAACAGAGATCGAATACGGGGAAACCAGCTAAAGTAGCGTACCACAGCAATGGGCCTTTGACGGAGAAGGCCACCAGAGCATTTGTAAAAGGAACTTCCATCCAATAGAGGCGCTTCTGCCAAATAAAAAAAGAAAGTTCACTTGAAGTCGGAAATAATAGGCCCATCAGTATACTACGCGTACATGTATGTACAGTGTCAGAAACTTTTGAAATGTGACCATGTTCAACTCTTAGATTATTAAAACAATAATAACTTGCTGTATTCATACCGATCAGGTTTTAGAAACAAATTTTCTACAAACACTTGTTTTACTTAGATTTTATAAGGCATAGTACAAAAAATAAAGAATTAACAACATCTTTTGTCACTGTTGATCATTCAATTTTATGTTTTAGGTGTTCTTTCAACTAAGTGGTTCAAATCGATCTTGTAAACAGCAACAAGGTCATGTCTGACATTTCGTCAGATTTTAACCCAATAAATTGCGGTGTTCAACAGAGGAGTACTTCAGGTCCAGTTTTATTTTCAATTTAGGTAAATGATATGCATATGTCTGTAAGTGTTGAAAAAAATCCTTTGTATGCTGATGAAAATGATACCTTTAGATTTAGTGGTCAGAGACTAGAGGAGCTAATGCGATAGTAAGGTGCCCGTCGTCCGTCCGTCCGTCTATAAAAAAATTTCAAAATGCTACTCCTCCTAAAGTTTTGATCTGATTTCAATATAACTTGGCACACAAGTAGACTACACTTAGACACATAATTTTTTTATCGGTTTTTTTTTATTTCGTTAATGTTGCCACGGCTATTTAAAATAAAAATTTCTGTGAAATATTTTCAAAAGATTCTCCTACAGTTTTCGTCTGGTTGCAATAAAGCTTGCCACAAAAAGAGACTAAAGCAAGGATCATTATTTTATTTGTTGCTGATGCAAAGCTTCAAGTCCAAGTGCTACTTTTCTCTTCCTTTGTTATGAGTAGACCAGTAGAGCTACAGTCTCATCAGAGACTTCTGGTTTATGCATAAAGATCCTTTTCTTTTTGCACAAAAACTTGGCTGTGTTCTTGAAAAATGTTTCTCATGGTTATCTGTCACTTCATTAAGGCAAGACAGAATCTATCTTAAATTGTCCACCATAATCAAGAAGCCCATGGGCCACATCACTCACCTGAGCACACTTGCTGGGAAGAAGCAGAAGTCAGATCAGTACATTGAAAAGTTTTAAGGGTGGACAATTTTAAATTTACCCTACTTCAGGATGCTTCTATATCAATATTACTAATCATGGATTTGCTGTTCTTAAACAGAAGAATTTTAAAGATTCTTTTTCCTATGTATTCCTCTGTAAAACTCTGATTGCTCATTGTGGACCCATC